AAGTAAACCGGTATGGTCCGGTCCGGCGTACCGGCAAGAGCCAGTATGCCATGCCGGACTGCACCGGCTTCCGCGGTGGTGATTTAAAGGACCCAGGGCTCCAGCTGCTGCGGGGAGCCCCCGACCTTTTAAAGCACTGCCAGAGCTCCGGCACCCGGGCTCCCGTGGTGATTTAAACAGCCTGATGCTCCTGCTACTGCGGGGAGCCCCGGGCCCTTTAAATCCCTGCCAGAGCTCTGGCAGCCGAGCTCCCACGGTGATTTAAAGGGCCTGGAGCTCCATGGTGGCTGGAGCCCCGGGCCCTTTAATTCGCCCCTGAGCCACAGGGCTCCCAGCTGCCTCTGCAGCTTGTAGCTCTGGGGTGATTTAAAAGCCCTGGGGCTCCCAGCCACAGCCGGATCTTTAAATCTTGAAAGGCCCCGCCTCTTCCGGTTGAGGCCACGCCCCTGCTCAGGACTCCGGCGTACTGGTAAGTCCTTTAAGTTACTTTCACCCCTGCTTCATTGCTCTGGACTGGATTTCTAACAAGGGAGCTTTAAACAAGGATTGATGACCTCCAATCTGTTTGGGTGATTCCACAGAGACTTTTGCAAACCAGCAGTTTATTCTATCACAAACCTGATATAAGGTCTTTGCAATCACTTGTATGTATGTGATTCCTTAACCATTTATAACTTTCTCTTTTTTCCCTTTTATTAATAAATCTTTAGTTATCTTACTGAGGCTTGGCTGACAGCATGATATTTGGGTAAGATCTGAGATTCATATTGACCTGGTGGCGCAATGTGTCTTGTCCTTTGGGATTAGAAAGAACCTCACATATGGTGAAATGGGTTTTCAGTTGTCTGGGTGGGAGCCAAGGGCTGGAATGCCCAGAGGGGATTGTGTTTGGCTTCTGGTTAACCAGCAGGGTACTGCAGAAGCACTTTTATTACCGTCTTCTTGCAGTCTGCCTTGACGGTGGCATTCTCAGCTAAAGGGCTTTTTGCTCTGATCCTCACTTGTTTTGAAAAATATTAATGAGTACATTTTGTGGAGAGCTTAGGGATCACAGGGTATCGCTGTGGAACAATGGGTGAGGAGTGAGTGCCAGACTGATTTCTTGGCTGGCAGTTTCTGCTGGTACCAATGCTTATCAGGCATCCACGTTAGATGTCATACAAGTAATGACTGACATGGTCAAATACCTGGTGTGTGTGATCTGAAGGGAAGAGCACACACTGTTTTATTTCACAGTCAATCATGACACCGGGGTACAAACAAACAAAAAAGGACCTGACACAGAGTGTACATACACACTCTGGTTGAAATCCTGGCCCCACTGAAATGAATGGCCATACTTCCACTGATGCCGGCAAACATATTGTGATACAGGAGAGCCAGGGAGCAGTGGGAGAGTGGGAGAGGGGAAATATATAAACCCTGGGCTAATTAAGGCAGGGTTTCCTGTAGACTAGGGAGGGTTGCTACAGGTTAATTGGAGCACCTGGGGTCAATTAAGACCCTGCCAGGAACCTAATAAAACTCACTGCTTCAGGCAGTCAGGGAGGAGGAAGAAGGAGAGTAGACTGGAGCTTGGAGGTGCGTTGTGCGATTTGAAAGCTCAGACAACCGAAGTAAGGGAGACCCTGCCCGGCAGGGCGACTCCCTCCCACAGTGTTTAAGGACTGAGGGTAACCCAACCAAAGGGGAAGAGGGTAAGAAACCCGCAGGGGTTGAGAGGGGCTGGGACTCAGAGCGAGGAGAAAACCCAGACCCCTCCCCCGCTTCCCTCCTCTACCATCTTCCCGGGCCACTAGTGGGGTCTTCGGCACCCAAGAGCAGGGGCAAAGGGAGGCGTTTTAGCCCCCCCCCCAGAAAAGTGCGGGACCCACCATACGAACATTGGCCATCTTGTCACAATATTCACATGCACACTATCAGTATCGTAGCAAGTTCTCACCTTTTTTCCTGGTGGTCCTGCCATTCCACGAGGCCCTGGGGGGCCAATTAGTGTCATGTTAGCAGTAGGACAGGCGCTGGCACATTTGTATCTGATAGCAGGTGCATATTGGGCTATCTGAGCTATAACCACATTACGACACAGTTCATACACCTGCTCCTCAGGCAGCCCTGGCCCCTAGGATGAAAGTACGAATTTATAAATGCAACAGAAATAGAATTGGTATTTTGTCTGTGTATCTCCCAAGGGTATTCATTAGGCTGTATACATTCATCGAATAGTTTGGATGAACAATTTACCACCTATGGGTTATTCATGAACTGTTCAATTGGACTGTTCTCCGTGTGCAATAGGTCACCTAAGTCACATAGTATTGTACTTTCTCATCCATTAGACAACAGCAAAGACATCAATTTGTCCCAACTCTGAGGATGATTTGTGATGTGTCTCCAAGCAAAACTGAACTTTGATAGACAAACTCATATAGCCTTCACATAGAAAAAAAAACTTTCAGTACCCACCAGTCTGAGCTGGATTTGAACTAGTGACCTAAAGATCAAAGGCTCTTTATCCCATTACCGCCCCCCAGGATTAGTTTCTGTAATGTTTATACAATACATTTTGTGCAATGACTGAGAAATAAGGGGAGTGCATATTCAACAGCTGTCCCTAAAGGTCTATACGCAGCAGAAGAGAGAGAATATGCTGATATTCACAAGCAAAACAACCAGCACTCCAATAACCAAATAAGGAAAATGCAAAGAAAAAGAAGGAGCTGGAACATACTTCAGGTCCCCGAGACCCTGGAGATCCAGGGGGCCCAGTTGCTCCATCCTCTCCAGTGGGGCCAGGGAAGCCTCTTGGACCAGGTAATCCAGGGACACCTCTTTGTCCCTTTGGACCAGCAGGGCCAGGAAAGCCACGTTCTCCTTGCTATGGGAGGAGGTGAAAGGAAAAGTTTGAAGGGAGAAAAATAGCAATAAGCATGAACAAAGAGGCACCCGTTTTTCCTTCAGCTACCTTCCTCTCTCTGTCTAGCTCTGTCAGTCTAAACGTACCCACCACCATCATACCTGAGCTCATGCAGCACAATTCTTACTTCTCCTTGGTGTTTGTGCAGATCCTTTTCATTCTACCTAACCCTATACCTTGCAGGGTGAGCATTATAAGAGAGAATGATTTTAGGTTCCTGTCGGGCTGTGGTAGAACATCATTTGCCTAGAAGCTCTGGGAGGCTGTACTGGATAGCCCCAAATCTTAATGTCACCCTCCCCCAGCATGCAGGAGAGAGAGACTGCTTAAACTCTGACCATTAATAGTTAGCTTTGGACATCCTGGACCGCCAGTACCTAATCCAGGTCTTTTCTGCTGTGTGAGGTTTTAGTAATGAGCATCAGGGAAGGTAGAGTAGCATATTCCATTCAGTTCAGCCATTCAATTTCTTTATCAATTATATGCACCATGGTGGCTTACCATTAGAGGAGTTTTGCTGCATGGCACATGCATTAATTCTTTGTGGACACATTTATTCATCCTGTATGGCCTTTCTGACTCTCAAAGGAAGGGTTTTCATAGGGAGATGGTTCATTTCAGATAAGCTTTCACTGGTCTTGGTGAGCCAAAGCTTATCAGAATACGAGAAACACCAACCCCCTTGACATTCCAACAGTCCCCACTTCTCTGGCCTTTATGCATCTCCCCCTCCCTGTCCAACAGACTCCACCTACTTGAATGTTCACAGAACTTGGTATCACTCAACCAGTGCCTGAGTCTATTTTCTAATTCCAGAGACAGGCAGGAAAGCCTCTCTAAATATACAGAGAACAAGTCAGTTCGGGGCGAGTTTTAAGTAGGGGGTTGAAGTAGTAATCAGCTGGTTCTAATGAAGGTTTACACTCTAGATTGCTCTCCTGAAGGGGAAAATCTTCTACCCAGCACACAGCATGAGTAACTGGGCTTCATTGTGGCTGCTCAGTTGTGAAGGAACAACCTGCCCAGTTTGTGAGCAGCAACCTCGATGCTCTGTGGCTGCTGCTGCTGCAATCTCAGGGCTGCAGGAACCCGGATGGTTGGTGTGCTGCTCAGAAGTCAATGGCCAGTGTCTCCACAAAGTCATGGAGCCCACCTGTCTTGGCTCATGCTACTCACAGCCCACTCCAAACACGTGTTGGGGTGTGGGGCAGAGCTACATGGCCTGTGTGGTGTGCAGGTCCATCCATGAGCTCTCCTAATCCTGCCCCCCACCCTTCTGTAGCAAAGGGACTCCCTGGATAAGAACTCTCCATGCCAATGGAGTGGGGGAAAGGGTTTGGACCTAGCATTGGAAGCAAGACAGATATTTCCTTTGACTCTACATAACCACAATGGACAAATAAACATACTTGTCCTTTGTCTCCTCTGTCTCCATCATCCCCCTGTCAGAAAGTAATTGAAAATAGGTTAATAATTTAGGTTTATGGAGCTCAGCATTCACCAAGTACTTAGACATCTTTAATTTCAAAGGGCATTGGGCTGTACCTGGGATCCAGCATCCCCACGGCTTCCTTTTCTTCCCACATCACCCTGTAAAGGAGGAATACAGTTTATAGCTTTTCACAGTCTCTCAATTAGAGAAAGATTTCCTGTGTTCATTGTTTGCATTTCCTGCGCCCTCTGACTAAAACACTAACCCAACTGAACCCTTAGGCTAAGTCCTGTCTGTGCACTGGGAGGTGGGGAGGGTGTTCATCACTGCCTGCCCTGGAAGGAGTGCTAGGAAAGAACCGTGACTCTCATAGGACATATGATCTAGTGGTTAGAGGGCAAAAGGGGACTGGGAATCAGGACTCCTGTGCCCTGTTCATTGTTCTGCCACAACCATTGTTCTGCTATGTGGGCTAGGGAAAGGTACAACCTCTCTGTTTCTCATTTTCCTCACCTGTACACTGGGAATTCCTATCACACAGCAGTGTAGGGGTATTAATTATTTGTTAAAGTTCTTTGAGATCCGTGGATAAAACACATTGTTCTCCACCATCACCCCTCCAACCTTAGGAGCCTGTGTCATGACAACCCTTCTTGCCCCCAAGAAGGGCTCAACACAGATCCCGTCGGAGTCCATCAGTACTGCTCCTTCATTGGCCGCAGAGGATAGTCAGGTGTGACACAAAATGTCCCTTCTCTCCAAAGATTGAGTTTAGTGCCGCCACAGTACTTCCTTCCATTCCTTCCTGTCTCAAGGAATACAGACCCAAGGCTGGGATGTGAACTCTGACCTGCTGTGTGGCAGCAGAAGCAGCATGATGGTTTTAAATATGCGAGTCAGGTTTGTGGAGAATATAAGAACATCTGAGTCGTTCCCCAGAGCTTCTTAGCCATAAGCTCCATGACCATCCAAATCGCAGTTGAAATCACTCATTCTTGGAGCACTCAGGAAGATGTGTGTGTGGGAGGGATAGCTCAGTGCATTGGCCTGCTAAACCCAGGGTTGTGAGTTCAATCCTTGAGGGGGCCAGTTAGGGATCTGGGGCAAAATCAGTACTTGGTCCTGCTAGTGAAGGCAGGGGGCTGGACTTGATGACCTTTCAGGGTCCCTTCCACTTCGAGGAAATAGGATATCTCCATAAAATTTAAAATTTATTTTTTGTAAATCCCATTCATAAGCCAGAGATGCACACCAGTCCCATTATAAAGTCATTACAGTGCAGCTCAATAGGAGATGTATAATCTCTTTTCCCAAGTATGTATTTCAAAAGCAAATAACAAGCCATACCTTTGGGCCGTCATCTCCAGTCTCACCTTGAGCCCCCTGTGGGCAAGACAGGAGAGGGACTGACATGACTCACAGAGAAGACTGAAGTAACCATTTTACTTATTCACCTTTAACATGCGACTTTACCTTTTGGCCATTTATTCCTTTAGGGCCAGGGTTACCTGGTAGGCCAGGATCCCCCATTTCACCTTTGGTGCCCTGTATGGAAAAGAGAAAAATCCTGACCAGCTTTCCACAAGTTCTCTTATGCTTTGTAGTGATGCACCTCCTAGGCCTGACTGAGCCCAAAAGGAGCACATCTGCTTAGAGAAGGATTTTTTTCATATGCAGTTTTAGGAATAGGACAGCTCTTGGGGATGCACAGTCATACTTTAGCATATACCTTACCATGGAACCTGGCCTTCCAGGTGGGCCTCTTGGACCTCGCTCGCCTTTATCTCCCTGCAAAGACAGTTGAAAGCCTCTTTCAATTACCTTTTTCAAAGGGGAATTGATGACAGATTTTGATCTAGTTTAGTACCCTTTATCTCGCAGTTAAGACGATCCTTTCCAAAAGAGGGCTTTTAATTTACCCATGTTGCAACACATGGGAGCTTTTTTCTAGTGGTGAAGAAAATTAGTAACCCTTATTTTTCTCAAAGGTAATGCTTTTTTTTATATATATAAAACAGAGAACAAAACCAATAGGAAAGCTAGAACTTGGAACACTGCTAGGTTGGTCAATAACGTTAATGTCATTACATGTAACCACACCCTACTGAGCCTGCAGCGTCATTTTGCTTCAACAAGCTTTCGTCTGTGAGTTCGGACAGCGTGGGAACTTGTAGTGATGGAGGATTGAGCCTCTTTTTGTTTTGTTGTCATCTTCACTTCATAATTTTGAGACCATTTGTAAATGATGGACTCATGGCTTTCTTGTCATTTAATTACCAAGTTGTTTTTTACCTTTGGTCCCATGAGTCCAATCTCGCCTTCTAATCCTGGTATTCCTAGAGGACCCTAGGAGACAATGGAATCTCTCTTAGGATATGGCTTTATTGCCTGAAAAGGGATTCATTGAGCATTATGAACTAGATCTTACATCCCTTCCTGGAATGCCATCACTGCCTGGTATTCCTGGAGATCCTTCATTGCCCTGAAAATTATAATATTAATATAATCAAAATAGCAACACCACCTCATAACTTCCTATAAGCACTTCCTCACCTCATGGGTTCCCTCATCTCCAGTTGCAGCATTGCACAGCATCCTTTTCTCTCCCTCCACTCCCCCCCCCACAGATTGGGCTCTCTCTTGGACCTTCAATGGCCTTTTACTGCCTGCATCTTCTCCCGATTCTTCCTTTGAGTGTTCTGTGGCTTGGCCCACTAGCCAAGTCACATACAATTCTTCTGAAGTAGCATGAACAAGTCCAAATAAAAGTCCAAACAAACTTTCAAACTAATAATCCTTCCACCGCGCTCAGGCTTCACTGTAGTTCCCTTGTTGTCTCTACCTCAGGGCTTCCCCTGCAGGAGTCTAACTCGTTCCTTCAGCGTCCTCTGTTATTTCCTGTCTGTTAAACCCTATCCCAGAGCTTCTCCCTACCAGAGAGACTTGCATTTTCTGCAGTCCCTCTCTCTAAGTGAACTGCCTCTGTCAGATTATAAATCCTCTAGCCAGGAGGGAATCAGTTAATCACCCCCAGGTGAGGAGCATGACTAATTGGGGCTCTTGTAGGTGATGGGGGTTAAGCCCCATTACTCTTCCGAACACTATTACAGAAGATCTAGTTTTCTGGTTTTGTTTGTATGTTTGAATGAATTTAGTGCTCATGAAAGAGTCTTGCTTGACAGCCCTGTAGGCTTTTATCAAACCGCAGAACAGGCACAGCATGGGCATTAGACGTTCAGGTATCCATATAATGTCCTGATTTCGGTGTGACCATCTCCAAGGTCGAGAGAGTAACTGAGTTTCCATGCCCATTCCAAGGAGAGTGGACTTGTTACATTCCCTGTGTTCTTCCAGCTCATCCAGAAAAGGAAAGGTTTGCTAACATTTCAACAAACAATGACAGTGTAGATGGGGAAGTTCATACATAGTTTGAAATAATATAGCTAAAGAATAACATAGAATGAAATCATTTTGGTAGTAGGAATAAAGTAATGTTTTGTAGGTGAGCTACTGGTGGCTTCCAAAATGTGCATCCCTCTGACAGGGGACAATAAACCATTTGCATGATGCATTCCTAAAATCCTGTACCTTCTTTACTGTTCAAACTTTTTAATGCATATTTCATAACTATAAAGGGAAGGGTAACAGCCCTCCTGTGTACAATACTATAATCCCTCCTGGCCAGAGACACCAAAATCCTTTTACCTGTAAAGGGTTAAGAAGCTCGGGTAACCTGGCTGACACCTGACCCAAAGGACCAATAAGGGGACAAGATACTTTCAAATCTTGGTGGGGGGAAGGCTTTTGTTTGTGCTCTTTGTTTTTGGGGTTGTTTGCTCTTGGAACTAAGAGGGACCAGACATCAATCCATGCTCTCCAAATCTTTCTGAACAAGTCTCTCATATTGCAAACTTGTAAGTAACAGCCAGGCAAGGCGTGTTAGGTTTATCTTTGTTTTCTCAACTTGTAAATGTTCCTTTTGCTAGAGTGTTTACCTCTGTTTGCTGTAACTTTGAACCTAAAACTAGAGGGGGTTCTTCTGGGCTCTTTGAATTTGATTACGCTGTAAAGTTATTTCCATCCTGATTTTACAGAGATGATTTTTACCTTTCTTTCTTTAATTAAAAGCCTTCTTTTTAAGAACCTGATTGATTTTTCCTTGTTTTAAGATCCAAGGGGATTGGATCTGGAATCGCCCGGAATGGGGGGGGGGAAAAGGGGGGGGGATTGATTAATTCCTCCTTGTTTTAAGATCCCAGGGGGTTGGATCGGTGTTCACCAGGGAATT